TTCTGGAGGGTGAGAGAAGCTTCCAGTTAAGGTGACATTGAAGCCAGGTCCTGAAAGATGAGGAAGAGTTGTATGAGAGTGGGGAGGGAAGAGGGATGTGGAGGGATGAGGAATGGGCTGGGATGGGATGGAGTGAGCAGCCCAGGCAGGGAAACCAGCACTATACAGACCTGGACAATGAAGATGGCACATTTTGTTCAGGGAATGGTGAATTAAGTGTGGCAGGAATGCTTTGTAGAGACAGTAATTTGCTTGTATGGAATTTTGCCCGAGACCTCATTACAGTTTCTAAGTTTTTGTGTTATCATGCATCACTGTCCTTGTCAAACAGTGTGATGATCACAATAACATCAAGCATAGTATTTCATTAATTCTCACAAAAACAGGTAGGTGCCACAGTTATCCCCATTTTATGCATGAAATGATGAAGACTTGGGGTTAATGAGCGATTTGCCCAAGCTCACGTGGATATTAAGACTGAGTCAAATGTTAGGTCTGGTCTGACTTTAATGCTTGCCTTGTTCATGAGCACCGTGCATTGTCTCTCCTATGCAGTTAAGCAGGTAGACAGGTAAGAGAAGAACTCATGTTTCTCTCTACTCACACACTTCTAACCAAATGTATGTGTGGAGTTTCTACACCAGTTCTCCAACTCTCTGGATACCAACTGCGTATTCCACAATTCCACTCCAACACTACCTGGGGTTAGTGCAGACCTCACAGGTTAGAGGCTCAGTCCCACAAGACCACCCTTACTTCAGATGCCAATTGCAAGTCCTAGGTTGTCACCTGTATTTCGACCAACCAGTTAGAAATCAGGGTTTCCCATGACTCTCTTCTTCAGTTTAGTTATTTGCTAGAACAACTCACAGAACTTAGAAAAACAGGTTTTTCCTTTTCTTTCTTTTTTTTTAAAAGACAGGGCCTTGCTCTGTTGTCCAGGCTGGCGTGCAGTGGTGCAATCATAGCTCACTGAAGCCTCAACCTCCAGGGCTCGAGTGATTCTCCTGTCTCAGCCTCTCAAGTAGCTGGAATTACAGGGTTCCCACCACCACATCTGGCTAATTTCTTTTATTTTTTGTATAGATGGGGTCTTGTTATGTTGCCCAAGCTGGTCTCAAATTCCTAGACTCAAGTGATTTCCCCCCACCTCTGCCTCCCAAAGTGCTAGGATTACAGGCATGAGCCACCTCATCTGGCCAGCTTATTTTCTGTTACTGGCTCAATGTAAAGGCTCCATCTCAGGAACAGCCAGTGAAAGAGGTGCACAGGGCAAGGTAAGTGGGGAGGGGCACAGAGCTTCCATGCCCTCTGTTGAGCACACCACCCTCCCAGCACCTCTTTGTGTTCAGCGACACAGAAGTTCTTCAAACCCTGTTGTTTGGGTTTTTATGGAGGCATGATTGATTGACCATTGGTAGCTAAGTCAATCTCCAGTCCCTTTTGCCTCCTGGAGTTCGGCAGGTGAGGCTGAAAGTTCCAAGCCTCAAGAAATGTGGTTGGGGCTGGGCGC